TCTCTCCCCAAAGCCTCTGTTTCCAGTATCTCCTTAAGTGTCGCCAGACCTCTGTGCACCCCCTTTAGCCAGAGATCTGCTGTGTGTGGCTGCCACTCTGCACTCAGCAGGCAGCTTAGACAGCACAGGGCGGGGTGGAATCCCACCTGGGGGCGGGGCTATTTGGTCCTTTGATGCTGGTATCGCTCAGTGGGAGTGCCTCTTCCTGAGCAAAATGGCTGCTGCTACATGGGGGATGAGTCAGAACCAAGATCCCACCGGCTGCTCTCTCAGTTCTCTCCCCAAAGCCTCCTTCCCCAGTCTTTCCCCAGGTATCCCTAGCCCACTCTGCCCCCGTCTTTGCCGGAGACCAGGGTAAGTGGCTGCAAATAAAAATTTTGCATTGACCCTATAGAAGGTTCTTTACGTCTCCAGCCACCTGTCTCTGGCAGAGAGCAACCCTGCCGCTTTTCACTGCTGTCTGTTTTCTGTGTACTTTTTGGGCTCTGGTGCTGTGGGCTAGAGGTCCTCGCTTTTGGTTTAGAGTCTGCTCTTCTCAGGGGGATCCAACTGGCCATTTCAATATCCTTCTGGTGCTGCCACCCATTGACGCCCCTTCTCAGGTCTGTACCGCACTCCTTACCAGTTAGATTGCACTAAAGCTGATTCTTCTTTCTCTGAGGTTACAAGGTTCTTCTCTCTCTATTGTTCAGTTGTTTGTTCCAGGTGATTTCTCCCCAATTTAGTTGTAATTCCAGGTTTGTCCTGGGAGGTCAGTGTGACTTCCACTCACTCCTTTGTCATCGTGATTCTCCTCTATTTATTATTTAAGATTTTATTTATTTTTAGAGAGAGAGGAAAGGAGGGAGATAAAGAGAGAGAGAAAAACCACAAAATGGGTGCAACTGTAATTGTACAACAATTAAAAACACACAGCAAGAAAACGAAACTCAACCACCAACTTACACCACACACAAAAGTAGTCTCAAGATGGATAAAAGACTTAAATATAAGTCATATCACCATAGATGTCCTAGAGGAGAACATAAGAAGGAAAATTTCAGATATTCCACGCAGCAATATTTTCACTGATATGTGCAGGTAGTACAAGGGATATAAAGGAAAGAATACACAAATGGGACTACATCAAATGAAAAAGCTTCTGCGTGGCTAAAGAAAACATCAGGAAAATGAAAATGGAACCAACTGTATGGGAAAATATATTTGCCAATCATACCTTGGACAAGGGTTTGATCTCCAAAATGTATAAAGAACTCACATGATTCCACACCAGGAAGACAAACAATCCAATTTAAAAATGGGCAAAGGATCTGAACAGATACTTCTCCAAAGAGGACATACAGAGGTCCCAGAGTCATGTGGACTTTTTTTTATTACATCTTGATGGCAAGTGCATATCCTTGCTGAAGAAAAAAGTACTAAGTAACCTGTATTCCTTTTCCTCTAGTACTAAGTAACCTGTATTCCTGTTCATCTAAATAATTGAAATTATTTTAAAATTCATTCATAAAAGAAAAAAAATCATTGTATTGTTGCCTGTCATGCACCCTCTACTGGGGACCTGGCCTGCAAACCAGGCGTGTGCCTTGACTGGGAATTGAACAAGTGACCCTTTGGTTCACAGGCTGGCACTCAATCCACTGAGCCACACCAGCCAGGACTATTTTTGTTTTTTTAAACTGTACACACTCATACACACCCATGCACACACACACATACTTACTTAAATCCATAAGAAAAATTTAAATAAAAGATACCTCTGTGGAGAGGATTTGGGGTAGGTTTTACTTTATATTTCATGTATCTTTGTATTACTTTATTTTAGTCACAATCATAACATATTACATTTGTCATTTTTAAAAATTAAGAAAAGATTCTTAAAACTACTCCAAAACTAATTACTAATGACTAGCAACTTTCTTGTTATTATTATTTATCATTGTGCTCTTTAAATATCCCTGAGACATCTCTAACTATAAGAAGTATTTGTTTGTTAAACCCACGTAAGGTTCACAGTTTTCAGCAAATGTTTCCAAAAACCTTGTTCTCATGAATATATAAATATATACATATATAATTTATGTGTAAGTAGATTTATTGACATTTGTAACCAAGAAATATGCTCATTAAAATTTATTTTAAAGGTCATAATCCTTCTATGGACCATAAATAACAATTTATTAGGCAAAAGCTGAAGCTAGACATGTTGTAATCACTCCTATTGATTCATATAATTGTCCCTTTGTTCTCAGATGTCATATGGCCAAAACAAACGTAGAAGAAATTCTATGGTATTACAGTTTCTTCAGTGGTGAGCAGGCAGTGATTGTAGCTGGCAGCCTAATTTCCCCAGGGGGTTTATCAGCACCAGCAATTCCCTTCAAAGGAAGCTTTTAAGACAGTGATTTATAGCCTTCTTGGGGGCCACACACTCCCTTGAGGTAGTACTAATAATGTTGGGGTGAAAAAAACATAGGCTTTGTAACTGGACAAATCTCTGTTCAAGTCCCAGCTCCACCACTTATTTGATAGGTAACTTTAAGCACTTAACCTCTCTGAGAAATGCCTCGCATGTGGTAAAAACTTAGTAAAAAGCAGTCATTATCATGTTATTTTATAATATGATGGAAACCATAGATTGAGCTCAGGGGAAAAAATCCATCTTGCACTTTTAGTATGTTGCATACAAGTTCAAGGGCTTTGTCCACCGATCAATGCCATTCTGGACCTTAGGTCAGGAATACCCGGTCTCAGGTTTGGAAAGAACATTCAAAGAAACCCAAATAGTAGAAGTAACATTTTCTACTCCTTTTGCTGATTGTTATTTTAGATTGCATTTGCTTGTTTGTTGTGTTAAATTATTTGTATATTATGTCTACCAGGATTTAATAAGACCAAGAAGATAGATTTTACATTAAGTGTACAGGAGAGCGAAATAAATGACATTTGCCTAGCACTTTGACACATCAGTTAGATTTACTGATTTACCAGCAAAGTGGTAGGAAAGGTCATGGCAATTCACTGTCAGATTAGGTTTTCAAAGACCACTGCTAACCACATAGATTTAAAGGAGCCATGCTTCTGGTTCCTTAGATCAAAGATAAAGTCATTTTAAACTGATTTGAGCAAGCTGTTCAGGCTTAACCTTACTAGTTCCCAGCTCAGTTTTGTAATCAGAGCCAGGTAGTACTATAATCTTTTATTTTCAAGGCTTTAGAAAAAGAAGAAAAAATGTGTTCAGGTAGCAACTCAAAGGAATAGCTGTCCTGTTCCTTTGCATTAGTCTGATCTCAAAGAAACACAGAAACCCTCTGGAATGTGCCTCTGCCGTTAACTCAAACAGCATCAAGACAGTAAAAATGTATCTCCATAGTATGTCAGAGCCTTATTAGGCATGGATCTATCTGCTATTTACTCACTAGCCCTCTACCCAAAATCCATAAGAGCAGTAAATAATACTCCTCTAAGAATGAATGAATATTTCAGAAAATGAGATAAAATCCGATCTTAACCCTGTAATCAGTGACTTTACCCACACTTCAGGACTGCTGAGCTGATGATGCAGAAGATTGGACTTGAGGGGACAGTGGGGTTGTACAGAGAAAAACAATCTTATATTTTCTCATCACAACTGGAAAGAAGCAGGGGGAAATACATGTGCAATTCCAAAAAGCCAGCTTTCTTACAAGAACTCCATTCCAACATCATTGTTACTTTCAAAACAAAAATGAATTGGTTAATAAATACCATTCCCCATTAAAAGGAACGAGGGTTCTTTGGTAAAATGGCTGATTCTTGGGCTGAACGGAGAAAGTACAAGATGAGTCTGTAACATCTTTTGCTAAAAGTAAGGAAGTGCTCAAGAAATGATGGGAACATGTCAAAAGGTCACTAGAGCTAGATTGAAGGACTACAGCTGGCCAAATCTGAGCCAATTTAAATATCAAAATAAATAATAGCAATAAAGTGTTACCTAAAATAAGAATCTATGAGTTTATGCTGATAAAAAGAACTGAAAAAATAAGTTAATGCAAAAAATGGAACAATATTCCCTAAAATAGAAGACTAATAAATGTAAAAAGAATGGTGGAGTTTCAAAATCATCAATTGGCAACCATGAAAATAATAAGTGACGAGGCAATCATCAACAGATATAAAACTACTGGGTGAAAGTTTGATAAGAACAGAATATTTACATAGCCTCCAAATAGCTCCCCAGAAATTACTTTTCTAATAACAAAGGGGGAAAAAAGTAACTTTACACTGGAGAAATTTAGCAATCATCATAAGAATCAAATGATCAAAGTTACCATCACCAGTAATGGGACAAATTGACATCATGAAAGATGAGGAAAGAATGTTCTGCTCCAGATTAGAATCTAATGAGGCATGATAACTAAATTCAATGTCTGATCCTGGACTGGATCTTGGACCAAACCAAAAATAGTAATAAAGGAAATTATTAGGATGATTGGCTAAATTTGAATACAGACTATGAATTAGGTATTAGTATTATATCAATGTTAAACTTCCTGATTTTGATCATTGTACTGTGGTTATATAAGAGAATGTCCTCATTCTTAAGAAATACATTCTTAAGATATTCAGGTGTAATATTTAGGGATAATGAGACTTTATATCAGCAACTTTCAAATCATTAATTGTGTGTGTGTGTGTGTGTGTGTGTGTGTGTGTGTGTGTGTGTAGAAGGGAAGAGAAAAAGAGGAAGAATGAAAACATATGAGGAAAATGTAACAGTTCTTGAATCTGGGTAAATAATATACAGACGTTATTTGTCCTGTTGCAATATTTCTGTAAGTCCGAAGTCATATTAAAATAAAAGACTAAATAATATTTGCTCTACATTACAAAGTAGATGACAAAACTGTGGCAACCTTGGGCCCCTCTGAGAAACACAGTACTTTGGCATAGGTGTGGGTTTGGAATAGCGAACAGAACAGTACATCATTGCTAAGGAGGACAATTTGTAAGTTACTCACAGCAGCGCAGTCTCGTGTCAGCCGTTGGAATGATGTTGTTGATGAGCCAAACATCCTCTTCCCAACTAACTACGTTTCCACCCAAGCACTTCATAAATTCCTCACTTTCCAGGATGTGGTCCCAGAGTTGAAAGTAGTACAAGCTGCCAGTGAAGGGAGGCACCATGCTTTTAATTTGTATGTCCCTGTTCTTAAGAAAATGTCCTAGAACCAGAGTCCCATTAGGTGTCAGGTTTTGAGGTCGATTCATCATTACCAGTATCCTTTCTTTATTCAGGAAAAGCTCTAATCTGCCCTTCACACCATCCCTTATCAAGCATACTGTATGCCATTGAAATGGAGTCAGATGGTAACGGATATAAAAGGTCTTGCCCAAGTTGTATAGTATTAAGTGCTGATGATCTCCTGCAAGTCCAAGGTCTATGTCCTCTCTCATATTATTAGTAATATAGGAGAAAGCCATCCAATCACTTGATTTGCCATTCACGAATACCAGGTCAATGCATGCTGTGAATCGACTGAGTTCAGGAATGCTTTTGGTCAGGCTTACATATGTGTCAGCTCTTTCATAAAAATCCAGCCTTTTTCCTTTTAATGAGAATGCATCTGTCCAAATTTTGGGGAAGAGAAAGAGAAAACAAATGAAATTTTAGCATCAAAAAATCAATTTTGTAATCTTCTTTAGCCATATAATCCAATACAGATTATGCAATGTTATTATGAGTCAGTACTGGTGCAAATAAACCAAATACTAGCTACACAAAAATCATCTCTATTTCACATTGCTATGTGGCTTTTTTGGCCGAGAAGTTTCTTCCTAATTATATTTCATCTGGGCTAATGTGAAAAGTTAGATTAGTATTCCCAGAGCACAAACAAACTGGACAGTTTGGGGAGGCAATTAGAAGTGTGTGGCTAGTGGAGTGGAGGAAGGCCAAGAAAAAGGCAACTTGGACTTAAAATTTGCTGCACATAATTCTCACCCATGTAATCAAAAGATAACTATTTCTATCTACCAAACTGCTTTATTATATTCATGGTGTGACAGCAATTTATTTCTCCAAAGTCTTTTCCTGAGCCAAATTTTCTGATTATTCTGTCTCCGAAGACCGCTTCTCACTGAAGGCACTGACAGGGTCCTGAAGGATGGCCAGCTGGACAATACTGAAATGCCAGGGCTTCTGTTTGCACCCAGGAATGGGAGAAATGGCACAACACTGAGTGTATCTTGATTCCATCCTTCCATCTCCTCAAGGGGAGCTGCAGCAGCTTTAAGAGGCTCTAGGTGGCCATGAAGCCAGTTATCACTGGCTCTTGAGTCACACAGCATTGGATGGAATGCCAGCTCTGACACGCATCAACTGTGTAACTTTGAACAAGTAACATAACCTTTCAATGCCTCAGTGTTTGCTTCAGTAAAATGGGGATTCAGGGACACAGTGTTGTATTTATGCACAACTCTAGGGACCACCATTCACATTATAGTCTATGCCAGATAATACCCCTACCTACTGACCTTACAGGATTGTTCGAAGATTAAGTGAGATGATGTATGCAAAATCCTCTCAATCATTGCTGAAGAGTATTTTGATGGGCAATTTGATAATATCTATGAAAATTAGAATTGAGTATGCAATTTGTTTCACATCGGAAGCTATTAATGAATCACTATACTATCATCATTATAAACTTTACACCCCAGGCCACTAGGCAAATATCATATGATTGCTGAACATCAACATAATTTCAGTCCCAGCACAGTGTAAAATAAATTAAAAATTTAAAAAAGCTTTGTGGCAAGAATGGGATTCCAACTTCTCCCTGAATTAGGGGTATAACATTGAGACTGCCAATCTAAAACTGAGAGCAATAGCAGCACACTACAGAGGTTGGCAAGAAGTGACCACTTCCTTGCTTTTGGGAGACGTCCCCAAATGAAAGCTTCTAGATATTCTCTATCCTTACAGTATTCTCTCCCTCCATTTCTCCACTGAACATCTTCAAAAAGCAAACAAATACATGCCTGCCCACACACATTCACACACACACACTAACCTGCACACACATGTACACATATACACATACCCATGGGCCAGAACTCATACCATTCATCTGCTAGGGAGCTATTTCTGAACTGTCCATGATGGATGAGAAAATGCCTATTCCTGACCCTGGTTTTTGTAAATATATTATTGTAGGGTACATGGAGGCGGTCTGGCTCCCTCATCTAGATGCATGGGTAACCAGAGGGAGCAACTCCTCACAACCCTGAAGGAGTCTGATAAAGCAGTGTTCCCACAGCCTTGAGCCCGGGTCTCACGGCCTTGAGCCTGGGTGCGATAAACTGCCCTGTAGCCTTGAGTAGGCTCACATGTGCAGTTCATGATAGTTACTTCACCTTTCTAGCCTGTTGCCTGCTTTGTTTGGAGCTAGTATTTAAGGGATAGGAGCTTTGGACAAGCTGGGGAGTCAGGATGCCGACTTGGACACGGGCTTATGGCCTGTGTGACTCTCTCCACACAGGCTCATGGCCTGTGTGTGGCACAGATACAGTCTTTGTGACCTGTGTGATTTCCCCAAAGTGGGCTTGTGCCTGTGTGACTCTCCTGAATGAAGGCATGTCAAGCATCCCCAAGGCTCCACTCATCTTCTTCCATCTACCTGAGCCCCAAGTGGACCTGTCCAGCCTAGAGAGGCTGCAACACAGTTATTTTCTTTCATATTAAACAAATTGAAAGGACATGAATAAGCAACTGACTAAATCAAAAACATAAAAATATGGACTCGCTATTTTTAAAATACAAGTTAGAACAACAATAAGACACCATTTTTTTGCCTTTTAAAATGACATTTTAGACAGACAGAAAACCAAGTTTGATGGGCCTATGGGGAAACAAGTCACTTTATTTTTTTTTTATTTTTTATTGTATTTTTTCCATTACCATTTAGTCCCCTTATACCTCCACTGTCCCCACAATCACCACACTGTTGTCTATTTCCATAAGACCTTTTTCCTTTTTGTTCAACCCTTCCACCCCTAACCTCTCCTCCTTAGCTGTCATCCTGCTCTCTATTTATGAGTATATTTTGCTTGTTAATTCAGTTTGTTCATTAGACTCCACATATGAGTGAAATCCTATGGTATTTGTCTTTCTCTGACTGGCTTATTAAACTTAGCATAATATTCTCTAGGTCCATCCACAATGTTGCAAAGGGTAAATTTTTCTTCTTTTTTATGGCCATGTGGTATTCCATTCTGTAAATGTACCATATTTTTTTATCCACTCCTCTACTGATGGATACTTGGACTGCTTTCATGTCTTGGCAATTGTAAATAATGCTGCAATGAACATAGTGCTTATGTTCTTTCAAATTATTGTTTTGGGTTCCTTCAGGTATATTCCCAGAGGTGGGATCATGGGTCAAAAGGCAGATAGATCTTTAATTTTTTGAGGTAAATCCATACTGCTCTCCACAGTGGCTGCACCAGTCTGCATTCCCACCAACAGTGCAAAAGGGTTCTCCTCTCTCCACATCCTCATCAGCGCTTGTTGTTGGATTTATTGATGACAGCCATTCTGTCAGGTGTGAGATGGTATCTCACTGTGTTTTGAATTTGCATTTCTCTCATGGCTAGAGACGTTGAGCATCTTTTCATGTCTATTGGTCACCTGTAAGTCCTCTTTGGAAGAGTATTCAGGTCTTTTGCCCATTATTTAATTGGGTTGTTTGGTTTTTTATTTGGCATTGAGTTTTGTAAGTTCTTTATAATTTTTGGATATTAACCCCTGTTAATCATCCTGTGGGTTGTCTTTTCATTTTGTTGATGTTTTCCTTTGCTGTGCAAAAACTTTTTAATTTGATGTAGTCCCATTTGTTTACATTTTCTTTTGTTTCCCTTGCTTGGAGAGAGATTGCTACAAAATATTGCTACAAGCAATATCTAAGATTTTCCTGTCTATGTTTTCTTCTAGGGTTTTTATGGTTTCAGGTTTAACATTTAAGTCTTTGATCCATGTTGAATTTATTCTTGTGTTTGGTGTAAAAAAGATGGTTTAGTTTCATTTTTCTACATGTATCTGTCCAATTTTCCCAATGCTATTGAATAAACTGCTTTTAGCCCATTGTATGTGCTTGCTTCCTCTGTCAAATATTAATAGACTCCAAAGGTGTGGGTTTATTTCTGTGGTCTCTATTCTTTTCCATTGATCTATGTGTCGGGTTTTATGCCAGTACCATGCTGTTCGATTACTATGGCCCTATAGTATATCTTCATATTAGGTAGCATGATTCCTATAATTTTGTTCTTTTTCAGGATCATTGTTGCTGTGTGGGGCCATTTGTGGTTCCATATAAATTTTTGAAATATTTGTTCTAGTTCTATGAAATATGTCATTGAAATCTTGATTGGAATTGCATTGAATCTATAGGTTTCTTTGGGTAGCATGGACATTTTAATGATGTTAATTCTTCTGATCCATGAATACGGTATGTGCTTCCATTTATTTGTACCTTCTTTAGTTTCTTTCTTCAATGTCTTATAATTTTCCAAGTATAGGTCTTTTAAATCCTTGGTTAAGTTTATTACTAGGTATTTTATTCTTTCCTGAAGCAATTGTGAATGGGATTGTATTTCCCTTTCTGTTAGTTCATTATTGGCATATAAAAAAGCAACTGATTTCTGGATATTAATTTTGTATCCTGCTACTTTGCTGAATTCATTTTTCAGTTGTAGTATTTTCCTGGTGGAATCTTTGGGGTTCTCTATGTACAGTATTATATCATCTGCAAATAAAGACTGTTTTACCTCTTCCTTTCCAGTGTGGATACTTTTTATTTCTTCTTCTCATCTGATTGCTATGGCTAGGACTTCCAGTACTACATTGAATAACAGAGGTGAAAGCAGACATCCCTGTCTTGTTCACAATCTATACCAATAGTTTTTGCCCATTGAGTATGATGCTAGCAGTGGGTTTCTAAAATATGGCCTTTATTATGTGTAGGTATGTTCCCTTTATTCCCACTTTCGTTGAGAGTTTTTATCATAAATGGGTTCTGGGTTTTATCAAATGCTTTTTCTGCATCATTTGATATGATCATGTGGTTTTTATCCTTCCTTTTGTTTATTTGGTGAATCACATTTATTGATTTGTTGAATATTGTACCAACCTTGCATTCCCAGAATAAATCCCACTTGATCATGAAATATGACATTTTTTAAAAATATTTTATTTATTTATTTTTAGACAGAGGGGAAGGGAGGGAGAAAGAGAGGGAGAGAAATATCAATGTGTGGTTGCCTCTCACATACGCCCCACTGGGGACCTGGCCCACAACCCAAGCATGCGCCCCGACTGGGAATCGAACTGGCAACTCCTTGGTACGCAGGCTGGGCTCAATCCACTGAGCCACACCAGCCAAAGTGGAATATGACACTTTTGATGCATTGCTGTATTCAGTTTGCTAATATTTTGTTGAGGATTTAAGTGTCTATATTCATCAGTGATACTGGCTTATAGTTTTCTTTGTAGTGTCTTTATCTGGTTTTGGAATTAGGATAATGTTGGTCTTGTAAAATGAATTTGGAAGCCTTCCCTCCTCTTGAATTTTATAAAATAGTTTGAGAAGGAGATGTGTTAGTTCTTCTCAGAATGTTTGGTAAAATTCACTAGTTAAGCCATCTGGTCCAGGGCTTTTCCTTTTTGTTGTTTTTGTTTTATTACTGCTTCAATTTCATTAGGTATAAGCTGTCTATTCAGATTCTCTGATGCTTCCTGATTTAGTTTTGGAAGATTGTATGTTTCTAAGAATTTATCCATTTCATCCAGGTTGTCCATTTTGTTGCCATATAGTTGTTCATAGTATTTTCTTACAATCCTTTGTATTTCTTTGGTGTCAGTTGTTTTTTCTCCTCTTTAACTTCTGATTTTACTTATTTGAGTTCTCTTTTTTTCTTCATGAGTCTGTTTAAATGCTTGTCAATCTTGTTTATCTTTTCAAAGAACCAGGTCCTGGATTAATTGATCTTTTGTATAGTTTTTTTAGACTCTATTTCATTTATTTCTGCTCTGACCTTTATTATCTCTTTCCTTATAATGACTTTGGGCATTTTTGTTGTTCTTTTTCAAGTTCTTTTAAGTGTAAAGTTAGATTGTTTGTTTCAGCTTTTTCTCGTTTTGTTTTTTTCTTTTTCTTTTTTTTTATATAGGTCTGTAATGCTATGAATTTCCCCCCTTAAGATTGCTTTCCCTGTGTCCCACAGATTTTGGATTGTTGTGTTATCATTTTAATTTGTTCCAAGGTATCTTGATTTCTTCCTTGATCTCATTGTTGAGCACTCATTGTTTAGTGATATGTTATTTAACTTCCATGTCTCTGGATGTTTTTCAGTGTTCTTCTTGTGACTGATATTTATTTTCACAGCACTGTGGTCAAAGAAGATGCTTGATATCATTTCAATCTTCTTAAATTTATTGAGACTTTTTTTGTGTCTTAACATATTGTCGATCTTAGAAACCATCTTATGTGCACTTAAAAATATGTATATTCTGCTGCTTTGGGGTGAAATGCTCTGAAGATATCAATTAAATACATTTGATCTAGTGTGTCATTTAAGGCCACTGTCCCCTTGTTGATTTTCTGCCTGGAAGATCTATCCATTGAAGTCAATAGGGTGTTAAAATCACCCACTATGGCTGTATTTCTGTCAGTCTCTCCCTTTACGTCCATCAAGATTTGCTTTACTAGGTCTTTATCCTCTTGTCGGATTGTTCTGTTTATCATTATATTGCTTCCTTGTTTGTTTCTTACTATAGCCTTGGTTTTAAAGTGTATTTTGTCAGATATAAGTATTGCTACCCCAGCATTTTTTTCCTTTCCATTTGCATGAAATATCTTTTTCCGTACCTTTACTTTTTGTCTGTGCATATGTTCTGATCTAAGGTGGGTCTTCTGGAAGCAGCATATATATGGGTCTTGTTTTCTTATCCATTCAGCTCCTCTATGTTTTTTTTTTTTTTGCTGGAATTATAGAGCCATTTACATTTAAAGTGATCATTGATAGATATGTATTTAGTATCATTTTATTGT